AGACCCAGGACACGCTGGAGAGATTATATCTCTCGGCTGGCCTGGGAACGCCTTGGTGTTCCCCCTTGGATAAGCTGGAGGAGGTTTGATCTTAGTTTTGTTTTCATTCAAAATAAGAGAATTGCCGACAACCAATCCTTGATCTCTTTCATGCAGTCTAACAAGCAGTACTGTGGCGTGGTTTAAAGCCAGACTGAAATTTGTCAGTAATATTATTTGTGTTTAAGTAGGGCTGTATTTGCAAAAAGACAATTTTCTCTAGTACTTTAGATAAGAACAGGAGTTTGGAGATCAATCTATAGTTTGCATGATCATTCCGGTCAAGGCTGCTTTTTGTCACATGTTTAAAGGCAGTTGGGACACAGCCCACCAGTAATGATAGGTTCATCAAAGATAGAATATAAGGCCCAATTACATCAAAACCATCCAACCAACCGTCAGGAGGCCGGCGGGGCGGGAGGCACCGGCGGCGACGTAGTTCAGGGGACAATAACGTTCAGTCATCGGCCTGGAAAGCGGCTGAACAGGACGTGCAGGATGAGCAGGCCGGACAGGACGTGCAGGCCAGACAGGACGTGCAGGATGAGCAGACCAGACAGGACGTGCAGGCCAGACAGGACGTGCAGGCCGGACAGGACGTGCAGGACCAGATGGCATGGGGACCTCAGGCGCAGACGAAGCTAGACGGCGCAAGGGAGGACCATGCGACGCCGAAGGCGAAGACACGGAGGCTGGACCAGGCGACGCAGAGGCTGAAGCTGGACCAGGCGAAGCTGAAGACTCGGAAGCTGGACCAGGCGAAGCTGATGACTCGGAGGCTGGACCAGGCGAAGCTGAAGACTCGGAGGCTGGACCAGACGAGGGCGAAGACTCGGAGGCTGGACCAGACGAGGGCGAAGACTCGGAGGCTGGACCAGACGAGGGCGAAGACTCGGAGGCTGGACCAGACAAGGGTGGCGCTGCAGGCGACAGCGTGGGAGCCGCAGGTGGTGGCGCTGCAGGCGACAGCGTGGGAGCCACAGGTGGCGGCTGGATGGGCCCCTATGAGGAACACCCAAGGCAGGTGTTCCGCGTCACCGGTGCCCCAGCACCCTCTCCCGATCCAGGAGGGACATACAGCATTCCGGTAAGGACTCGAGGGGGTATATGCCATGCTTTGGTGGACACGGGCTGTACGCAGACCCTCGTGCACCAAAGCTTGGTTCGCCCTAGGGCATTGCTGGAGGCAGAACGGGTGGAGGTGAAGTGTGTCCATGGTGATGTTCACTGGTATCCCATAGTGCCGCTGTTACTAAAGTATAAGGGCAAAACGCATAGAGTAACAGCTGCGGTTAGCCCGCGCCTGTCGCATCCCCTAATTCTGGGCACGAATTGACCGGGGTTTCATCATCTGTTAGGGCAGTATGCGGGGATGCGATCACGACCGTTAGTAGCGTGTAGTGTCTGTGCAGCGCTCAGCGGTGACGTGGGGTCGTCCGACGCTGACTCCGGGGAGTCCTTCATGGGAGGCCCCGCCGGCTCCGGAAATTTCCCCCATGGGTGATTTCCCACTGGAGCAGTCTCGTGATGACACCCTACGCTCAGCCTTTGACCAGGTGATTGAGATTGATGGTCACGTGGTGCGCCCTGAAGTCGTGCGGACCTACCCGCGCTTCATTTTATTAAAAGATTATATCGAGTGAGTCATGACACTCCCACGGAGGAGACACACACTCAGTTGTTGGTGCCGCAGGGCCGCCGGGAAATGATTTTCCAGCCGGCTCATTATAACCCCATGGCAGGGCATATGGGATACGAAAAAACTCTGGAGTGAATAACGGCCCGATTTTATTGGCCGGGCATCCGAGCGGATGTGCGCCACTGGTGAGCGCCCTGCCCAGACTGCCAACTTGTTAATCAGCCGGCCATACCAAAAGTGCCTTTGCGCCCACTCCCACTTATAGAGGTCCCATTTGAGCACATTGGCATGGACCTCATCGGGCCATTTCATCGGAGTGCACGCAGCTACTGCTTTGTATTAGTCCTGGTGGATTATGCAACGCGGTACCCGGAAGCAGTCCCGCTGCGCAACATCTCTGCAAAGAGTGTGGCGCAGGCACTGTTTCAGGTCATCTCCCGAGTCGGAATCCCGAAAGAGATACTGACTGACCAGGGCACGTCGTTCATGTCTCGTACACTGCAGGAACTGTACGAATTACTGGGCATTAAATCTATTCAGACCAGCGTCTACCACCCTCAGACAGATGGGCTGGTGGAGCGGTTGAATAAGACTTTAAAATCCATGATTCGTAAGTTCATTACCGAAGAGGAAGGTCCGAGCCCCGCCAAGAATGAGATTTAGTACGTGTTGGACCTGAGAGCGAAACTCCACACTTTGGGGAGGTTGTCACGGGAGAATTTGCTCCAGGCTCAGCAGCGTCAGCAACGCCTGTATGACAGAGGGGCTAGACTCAGGCAATTTTCACCGGGAGAAAAAGTGCTTGTATTACTCCCTTCTTCTAGCTCAGAGTTGCTCGCCAAGTGGCAAGGACCCTTTGTGGTCACACGGCGAGTTGGGGACGTTGACTATGAGGTCGCTCGGTCGGACAGGGGAGGGGCCAAGCAGATTTATCACCTCAATCTCCTTAAAGAGTGGAGAGAGGCTGAAACCGCTTCTGTGGTAAGCCTGGTTAAGGAGACAGATGAGTTGGGGCCGGAAGTACCAAATTTCATCATCCCCGCCTCCCTCCCTTGTGATGACCATCTCACACAGACCCAGAGAGCGGACGTTGTCGCGTTACAACAGCGTTTTGCTGATGTGTTCTCCCCCCTGCCCAGCTGAACGTCTCTCATTGAGCATCATTTTGAAACGCAGCCTGGCGTGACGGTGCGTTCACGGCCCTACAGGCTTCCTGAGCATAAACGGCAAATTGTTCAGAGGGAATTAGCTGAAATGCTGAAAATGGGAGTGATAGAAGAGTCGCACAGCGCCTGGTGTAGCCCCATCGTTCTTGTGGTGAAGAAGGATGGGTCTATACGGTTCTGTGTCGACTATCGCAAGGTGAATGAAGTGTCACGCTTTGATGCTTATCCCATGCCCCGGGTTGACGAGCTCCTGGATCGGTCACGACACTGGATTTAACCAAGGGCTACTGGCAGATTCCCTTGTCTGCTGAGTCAAAGGAGAAAACGGCCTTCTCCACTCCGTACGGTTTGTACCAATTCGTTACGCTTCCGTTCGGCTTGTTCGGAGCCCCGTCCACCTTTCAGCGCCTCATGGACTGGGTGATGCGTCCGCACGCTGCATATGCTGCTGCCTACCTGGATGACGTGATCATCCACAGCGACATCTTGGCGGAGCATGTGCAGCGGGTGTCCGCGGTCCTGGAGTACCTGAGGAGGGCGGGGCTCACGACCAACCCGAAGAAGTGTGCAGTTGGATGGAGGGAGGTACAGTATCTGGGGTACCACTTGGGGGGCGGGCAGGTGCGTCCACAGGTGGAGAAGACGGCAG